CAGGAATGCATTTGAAATACAATCTGGATTCTTGCTGGAAGAGTAGATTTTAAGTGCTTCAAGTTATGTCTCAAGTTTGAAATTCATATTATGAAAATATATCTATGATGTATACCATCATTTTAAGCTCATGTTACCATAAATATCAAAGGGAAGTACAAGTCGGTTCACACTTCTCATAAAGCAAAATGTACGCTTCTATCTATAATGTTGATATAGGAAGGATAATAGTCATTTCACTTTGTATAGAAATAGACGACTTTGTGAAGCTTCGAAAGATGGAGTTTGTTTTCTCTTATGGCATGTTATTAGATGTAATCATATGTTAGTTACTTATTAATATGGTACTCTTCTCCATGTTTTTATTTTCTCTTTATTTTGCTGATTTTGTGCTGGTTAGAATATGCTGTGGGGGTGGAAAAGCAGACAATCTCTGCTCATTTTCAATTGAAATTGTATTTGTTAAGCTATGCAGCTTAATTGTTTTGGTAATTTTTTTGTATTTATGTTGGGGCATCTTATTCTTCACACGAGAAATTATGATTTCATTCCTCCACAATCAGCCATTATTGAGTGATTCTATATAAAGTTATTGTGTTTTTGCTTGTCGATTTGCTTTCATGTCTTCTGTTCTCTATGTTTGAATATCTTTCGTCTATTTGCTAACAGTATTTTCCAATTTCGATCTATTGTACTAAGCCACAACGGCTCCTTGCAGTTTTATTTAGGAAGCTTTACATACATACCACTCAATTTCTATTTATTTACATTTCTAATACCTAAACTTCATTTATTTATATACATGTCATCTTACCTATGCATTCAAACACGTATCTATTTTACTTTTTGTGTTGGCCCTTACTTGTGCCACGACCTCTACTGCTAACAATTCTGCTTGGCATTCGGTTCGATGTTTTGGTAACAGCCAGGAATTTGTGGGGAGCTGTGATGATTATGTATCCGTTGAGGCTCAACCGGCTGTTACATTTGAAGACTCGAGGTTTTGATATGGGTTGATATGTTGCCTGTTGTTGTTCGGAAATAAACCTGATTTTTGACGCCAAATTCATCTCTTCGACTTTTCAGCATGGATGGAGCCGGTGATAGAATTGGATCGGTTATGTTTTGTGAGCTCCCGTTTAGCTGCTTTAGCTTGTTCTTTTCTTTTCTTCACACACACACACACACACACACCAAAAAAACAAATTGGTGAAGGTAGAAATGTTAAAGTTTAGGTGTTTGATCTGTAAATACATAGGAATGGGGTGGTATGTATGTAACTGCCTCTTTTATTTAATGCAGGCATGAGAACAGGTTGCTCTTGTGGAATTATGGCACAAGTACTCTACAGCATGATAACGGTAAACTTCCTAAAATCAGCCTTCCTGGAAGCAACACTATGTTTTTCTTAGCACTGCACATTTTGTAAGTCTTCTGATATTATCCCATGTTCCAAGCTACAGTTTTCTGCATGTGAATTCTTTTATGGCTACTTTAGAGCATGATTATGATTAAAATTTATGGAAATTTACATGCATGCCACACAAATATATAACCCCCAAAGTTTGATATTTACTCTTATAACACCTTGATATTTCATAAATTTATGCCTGAGAAAAATGTATTTCACTTCTAATGTTTTGAGCGGCATGCATGTAAATATGAGAGTTTAAGTGTTAGATATGTAAATACATAACAAATTGTGGTATGTATGTAAATGTCCCCAAATTTTAAATAAGCATTTATGAATTCAACTGTTTTGTTAGATTCAAATGAATCATCTTCTTTTTGCTATATTAGGGTCTGTCTGGGGCAGCTTATAAATGCAGACGGCGTTTTCAAAACGTCACCGTACCGTTTGGTTCGCGCCAGCTTATCTGAAACTGCGTTTGAGTTTTTACACTAAACGCAGGGCGCGGGTCGACCCCTGCGGCCGGCCCGCGGGCTGCTTTTCAGGATAAACAGCTTATCCTGAAACGCACAAGCTGCCACAAACGTACCCTTAGTAAGTAATTTAGACAGGCGCCTTACTAAAGAAATGAATCTATAAAAAAAATTTATGTATGCTGTCATTTTATTACATCCTCCTAAGTAAATAATTTTTTTATTAATATTAAAAAATGACTCCAAAAATTATAAAAAGATTTTATGAAGTCAAGAAATCATGGAGAGATATCCCATAAAAAACTTAGTTTAATTTTCAATTAATTTATATTTTCTTTGTTTTAATAATTATTTAACTTTCAAAGATAATTTGAAATTAAAAAAAAAATATAAAAAAATTCACAAACATTTATAGCAATGTTTGGGAGTATCTCCTGACAAGTCTATACAAATTTAATGGGATACATTTTAATTTTTAGTCAATTATTCAATTTATTTGAAATTTAAATTATAATAATTATTTAAAATTTTCTAAAGCTCTCTTTCTCTCTTCCTAAAGCTTAATGGAAAGTTCTTGGTGATTCTTCTACTCTAATTTAATTTGTTAGGAATTTTATAAGCTTAAGAGCTTAATTAATTACTTACTTTATTAAGATAAACCTATTTAGTTCAATATTTAATTCAAGGGATCTAATCCACTCCAAATCTTATTAAAGTATTTTCTAAGATTATAAGAGATCTCAGGTTTATTTCATAAAAAGATTGGTTTTTAATTATTTATTATTTGTTACTTATTTTTAAGAATAAATTTAACTTAATATCAGTTTTAAATTTATGAAAATGTTTATTCCATGAAAATTTGAATTGTTTTTTAAATAATTTGATTTTCTTAGATTTTTTTTTATTTTAATCTCTAAAAATTATTTAAAAATTTTATGAACATTTGCATAAAAAGTTAAAAAGTCACCGTAATATTATCATAAACGATTGTATTTCAAAGGAAAATACATTTTAAACAAATTATATGAATTATTTTGAACCTAAAACTATAAAAAAAATTATACTAAAATGTCATAATTTTATTTTCTTAAAGTTCTCTCTGCCATGATGAGTTAGTGATTCAAACTCAATGATTTGTTTTAATTTGTTGATTTATTATATTTTTTCAAAATTATAAGTTTAATTAATTATTTTTTAAATTCATATATCAACTTTTTTTTTTTCATGAAGCTTACTTAAATATAAGATATGTGATGTGGTGTTCAAAGTCGCGATTGTTCTAGATAGAGTCCTTAGAACAATTTTGGAGATGTTTAGTTTAGAAGTTTAAATACATACTCAAATGAGCTATCATAAAGCTTCTCAATAAAAGAGATGATCTTTCCATTTGAACCAAGCTTGGGGCTTAGTTTAGCAATAGAGCCTTGCATGCTCCATCTCCTTGGCTTAAATTGCTTGAGATAGTCCTTAAGAAGGTTTCAAAGTGGCTAGAAACTTTTTGGGGTGGAGAGATGAGCTAGAAAATTCTTATTCTCCATGTAATTTGGCTCGATGTGAAGCTCCACTTAGTTGGGATAGCAAGGGGTGGTTGCGTTAAGGTCAAAGTGGGCCTTGGCATCTCTCTTATGCTTAGGAGGGGTTAGTACCTAACCCACTTTGGATTTAGTTGACTTTGACCTCATTAGTTCAGTTAGTTCAAGGCAAACTAGATTCAAATTATTTTGGTGCACCTTGTGAGCATCATCAGGGAGCTAATGAGTTGGTTGGCCAAGTTTTGTTGCATTTATATGATGTTTAATTGGGTATGACTCAATATGATATCTTTGTGTAAATTTGAGCTCAGTGGATTAAGTGGGCAAATTAGGCAATTTGGGCTCCAAAGAATGTTAAGTTCATTTAATTTTTTGAAGACTTTAGAGAAAAAAAATTAGTTTTATTTAGTTTAGTTTTAGCTCAATATAATTCAATTGAGTCAACTTATGCCAATTGACCTAATTGAATAAATTGTCTTTCAATTTAATGTTAAATATGTTAAATTATGGTCAATTACTAATTTAAAGCATTTTGAAACATTTAGTTTAAGTTAATTTGGGTTTAATTTTATTTTTGTTCAATGTAGTCTAATTTTGATGGTTTGGGTTAAGTTATCAAATTGAACAAATTTTGAGCTCAATTGGTGTCAAATTTGAATTGATTGAATAATTGAAAATTTTATCCTTGATTTGTTTAAATAAATTTGAATTTAATTTTAATTTGGCCTAACATGATCTAATTAGGTCGATTTGGATAAAATGACCCAATTGACAAAAATAAAATTAAATCAAACTAATTGTTTCTAAAGTTTTAAAATAACTTATGGAGCTTAACACTCTTCGGAGCCAAATTGATTAAATTGGGCTTCAATTTATTTTTAATCATCTTAAATTAGAATCAATTAATAATTTAAAGCTTTTAGAAATAATTAGTTTAAATTGATTTGGATTTAATTTCAGTTTGGTACAATGTAGTCTAATTTCGGTAATTTGGGTTAAGTTATCAATTTGATCAATTTGGAGATCAATTAGAGTTAGATTAGTTTTAATTGAATATTTGAAACTTTTAGGATTGATTGGTTTAAATTAATTTGAGATTGAGTCCAAAGGCTCATAGGCTTGGTCTAAAGGTTTATTGGATAACACTCGTTATAGCCCAATATGGCCAATATTGACTCACTCTTCAAATTGGTTAATATTGACTAGGTTGATACTAAACCCAACTCAAAGCCTTTGGACCTATCCTATGAGCATTTGGACCCAATCTTGACTAACCTTAAGCTTGGTTCAAGTCAACCTCTAATAGTTTTATGGGGTTCAATAAATCAATTGAACTCAACCACTAAAGTGTTTGATTTCTAATGAACCTAACTAATTTATGGGTCATTAAATCATATTTGGGTTGTACTAAATACCTCCAAAGCCTAAGATTAGCCTTCTTTGATATCGTTCATCAACTTTTGAAACCTTTGAAATTTAAAACCAAATTAATTCAAATAATTAAATGTGGCTTAGCAAAAATTTTCAAAACACTTGAATTGGATAAAACCCATAATGTGACAAAT